AAAAAAAAAAAAAAAAAAAAAAAAAAAAAAAAAAAAAAAAAAAAAAAAAAAAAAAAAAAAAAAAAAGTAGTAATTGCTGAGAACTCACCAAATTTGGCAAAAGACAGGTTCAAGAAGCTGAGAGAATTTAAACAAGATAACTATCTTCCCATCCACAAAATATAACACCACAACACGTCATACTCAACTTGTGAAAATTAAAGACAAAATAAAAGTCTAGAAAGTAGCAAAATATATTTTAGAAGAAAAAAATTAAAATAGCAGACTTCTTATGAGAAACCATGAAGACCAGATGTTTTTAAAAACAGAAAAGAAAAAAAAATAAAAAGAGAAACCATGAAGACCAGAAAGAACTGACATTTTTCAAGTGCTAAAAGGAAGAACTCTCAATCCCAAATCCTGTTTTCAGAAAAATGTGTTCAAGAATGAAAGATACCTATATTATTAATCATTAGGGAAATGCAAACCAAAATCTCAATGACGCTGGGGGCAGTGGCTCATGCCTGTAATCCCGGCATTTTGAGAGGCCAAGGCAGGCAGATCACCTGAGGTCGGGAGTTCGAGACCAGCCTGACCAACGTGGAGAAACTCCCGTCTGTACTAAAAATACAAAATTAGCCTGGTGTGGTGGCGCATCCTGTAATCCCAGCTACTCAGGAGGCTGAGGCAGGAGAACAGCTTGAACCTAGGTGGTGGAGGTTGCGATGAGCTGAGATTGTGCCATTACACTCTGGCCTGGGGCAACAAGAGTGAAACTGTCTCAAAAAACAAAAAATAAACAAAAAAAACTCAATGAGATACTTGACATCCACAAAAAAAGGCCGTAATTTTTAAAAAGTTTAAAGAAAAATAAGTGATGGAAAGAATATGAAGAAATCTGAACCTTTTTTTTGAGACAGAATCTCACTCTGTCACTTAGGTTGGAGTGCAGTGGCACAATCTTTGCTCACTGCATTTCTGCCTCCCAGGTTCAATGTATTCCCTTGCCTCAGACTTCCAAGTAGCTGGGATTACAGGCGCCTGCCACAACACCTGGCTAATTTTTTTTTTTTTTTGAAATGAAGTCTCGCTTTGTCACCCAGGCTGCAGTGCAGTGGCACAATCTCGGCTCGCTGCAATATCTGCCTGCCTGATTCAAACAATTCTGCCTCAGCCTCCCGAGTAGCTAGGAGTACAGGCATGCACCACCACGCCCACCAAGTTTTATATTTTTAGTAAAGATGTGGTTTCACCATATTTACCAGGCTGGTCTTGAACTCCTGACCTCAGGTGATCCACCCATCTTGGCCTCCCAAAGGGCTGGGATTACAGGCGTAAGCCAACACACCAGGCCTGAGAAATCTGAAGCTTTTTGCCTTGCCATTGGGAATATAAAATGGTAAAGTCACTGTGGGAAACAGAATGTTGATTCTTTAAAAAGTTAAACACAGAATTCCCATATGATACAGTTATAGACAGTTTCATAAGAAGCTATTTCATCAGTTTTTCATGCAAACATGTTAAAACTTAAAAGTTATGAGCATGATTACAGAAAGATGCCCAATGATTATTATACAAATACTTTTGTGAGTTGTTTATATAGCCTATACTGGAAGTTTTCTTAGATTATTCCTTAAATAATCTCTGGGTTCATTACTGATTTTTTGTTTTGTTTAAGACAGAGTCTCAGGCCGGGCGCGGTGGCTCAAGCCTGTAATCCCAGCACTTTGGGAGGCCGAGGCGGGTGGATCACGAGGTCAAGAGATCGAGACCATCCTGGTCAACATGGTGAAACCCCGTCTCTACTTCAAATACAAAAAATTAGCTGGGCATGGTGGTGCGTGCCTGTAATCCCAGCTACTCGGGAGGCTGAGGCAGGAGAATTGCCTGAACCCAGGAGGCGGAGGTTGCGGTGAGCCGAGATCGTGCCATTGCACTCTAGCCTGGGTAACAAGAGTGAAACTCTGTCTAAAAAAAAAAAAAAAAAAAAAGACAGAGTCTCACTCTGTCGCCCAGGCTGGAGTGCAATGGCATGAACTTGGCTCGCCGCAACCTCCACCTTCTGGGTTCAAGTGATTCTCCTGCCTTAGGCCCCCAAGTAGCTAGGATTACAGGTGTGCACCACCACACCTGGCTATTTTTTGTGTTTTTAGTAGAGATGGACTTTCACCATGTTGGCCTGCCCATTTTTGAACTCCTGACCTCACGTGGTTCACCTGCCTCAGCCTCCTAAAGCATTGGGATTATAAGTGTGAGCCACCACGCCTGGCCTTGTGATTATATTATCAAAGTTTGGCCATTCTAAAAACTGCCGATTAATACATACTTTCTAGTTCTTCATATTCAAGATCTATAAAACATGAATATATGTAGTATGTATGAAAACGAAGTGGACATTGGATACAACGTTCTACCAAAACAGTGCATGGGTATTTCATGATATAATCAGTAAATTAGAAGACAGGGCAGCACATGTAGTGATGCCACAGATACTTTTTATTTTTTTGTGGTAGCCACTGAAATGTCTGGAAATGCAAAAATCAAACGGGAGTAGAATGTCCATGAGAATGTGACTCACATGCTCCCCAAATCTTTGGTGGATTGATGCTAGGACAAACATCCAGTTAGGCCATCCTCCCCACCTAGGAAAACAAGGTAAGCTTTTATCTTTGGTCACGAGTACAATTCTTATGTTAGTCACCATTGTTTGCATTTACCAGTATATAACTCACCTATAAATTCACTTTCAAATGACAAAATCCTTGGGTTCTCACAGTTCTAAGTCCTATAATTTTACCTGGTTTAGTTACTTAAATAGGTTTATTCCATCTATATTCTTTAAAAAATCTATATGCATAAATAAATTAAGGCTAAGTTCAACAATGTCTGTCTAGTTATAGATAAGACTTTATATATGTATAAATGTATATGAGTGCGTTTTCTGTAGCTACTTTCAAGTCTAAATTTTTATGCTTTTGTTTGATCACCTTTTTCATTTTTTGTTCTGAAATTATCAGAAAAATAAGGATTGACAAGCATGTTTCCATTTAATTGGCAATGGCTGCCCCTTTCTAACAGGCTAGAGGGCCTGTTTAATATTTTTAATGTCAAATACTTGAACCATGAACCATCTTCCAGCATATGCAGATATGGTTTATAGTTTTAAATCTTTTAAGAAGTGAATTTCAATTTCTATTGAATTTTATTACAATAACTCATATATGTACTAAATATTGGTTGGAAATAATCTTTCCCAAGAAGTACCTGTAATAATGCTGTTCAAGTTGCCACTGAGCTTACTCTTCTAATCAAAAGGATGCTATGGAAGTCACTGTCTTAGTAGATTTCCAATTCTCAAACATCAAAATCTTTTTAGTCATCATTTATTTGGGACTTTCAGAGACATATTTCCTATGACATAGGCTAAGGTATAAAAGACTTATGTTGTGGCCGGGCACAGTGGCTCACACCTGTAATCCCAGCACTTTGGGAGGCTGAAGCAGGCAGATCACAAGGTCAGGATTTCAAGACCAGCCTGACTAACATGGTGAAACCACATCTCTACTAAAAAATACAAAAATCAGCTGGGTGTGGTGGTGGGAGCCTGTAATCCCAGCTACTCAGGAGGCAAAACAGGAGAATCGCTTGAACCCAGGAGGCAGAGGTTGCAGTGAGACAAGATCGCGACACTGCACTCCAGCCTGGGCAAAAGAGTGAGACTCCATCTTAAAAAAAAAAAAAAGAAGAAAAAAAGACTGCTATATTTTCAAATTTTACTCACCTATTTCCTTTCTCAATGTCCCTTTCTCTTCTATGAATTCTAATTCACTGATATTAAATAAGGTGCAATAAGCAATGGCTGAAAGTACCCCGAAAATGACAACTACAGGATTTCCCTCCAATATAAATTTGCAGGTTTTGCATTTAAGGGTTGAGAAACAGCTAAAGGCCTTGTACATTTACTGCATTCACATGTCCATAATCAATAGCCTTCTCAAAATTATAAAACTGCAAGGTTTCTTTTTAGTAGAAACTGTCCAGTTTAACCAGTAAAGACCTTTCCACACTGACTGTGTTTAAAGCTGTTTCTGTCCAATCATTTCGTGCAGAGAAAGGTCTGAGGTGTTTGGCATTACCTATTATAGCTGAAAAAAACTTATATACACATTTGGAATGAATAGTTCCGGTCCAGGTATAAATTCAACAGAAATCATACACACACGCACGCACACACCCATGACATAAACAAGAATGTTTACAGCAGTATTTTTATTATTACACAAAATTATAAAAAATACAAATATCCATCAATAGGATAAATTGCAATATATTCTTAAAATGGAATAGTATGCAAAATGAAAATACACTACTGCCACATGCAATAATGTACAAATCTAAAAAACTGAGTGAAATAAGCAAGACACAAAAGAATTCATGATGTATGATAAAATATATATATATAAAATTGAAAACATGCAAAAACTACTTTTTAAAGTTATAGGCTACGGAAGTGATAACTCTTAGGTAAGTAACAACTAACTGCTTTTTATTACAGAGTGCAATGAGAAATATGTTCATAAATATTTTTTCTTATGGAGATTAATGCTTATGATCATTTTGTATCTTATCTCTGCATGTATTATATAACTATTTTTTAAAAATAAACTATTTGAGTCAGTAGGAGGAGCAGTCGAAGACTTTAAAATTTAGCTTCACAGCTAATAGAGTTCAATAATGATGACACCCATTTTATAGCTAGTAAATAGTAGACAGTTATTCATTATGGTACTTTAAGTTAATAACTATTATTAGGCTTGTGATTTTAAATTACATTAACATCTTTCAGCATGCTTTTCTTTTTATAACTAAAGGTTTACAATAACTTGAAAAGAATTAACATAAGAAACCACCTCATTTATTGCATTTCAATATTTTCTCCCTTGTGAGTTCTTTGATGGACAATGAGGTTTCTCTTATAACTGAAAGACTTACCACACTCATTACAAACATACGGTTTCTCACCTGTGTGAGTTCTCTGATGTACAATGAGATTTGTCTTCTGGCGGAAGCACTTTCCACATTCACTACATTTATATGGTTTCTCTCCCGTATGAGTTCTTTGATGATGAATGAGATATGACTTCCTGCTAAAGGCTTTCCCACACTGAGGACATTCATAGGATTTCTGCCCTGTATGTATTTTCTGATGTACAGTGAGGGTTGCTTTCTGGCGAAAAGACTTTCCACATTCATTACAAATATAGGGTTTCTCCCCCGTATGAATTCTCTGATGTAGATTGAGATTTGTCTTTTGACTGAATGACTTACCGCATTCATTACATTCATACGGTTTCTCTCCTGTATGAGTTCGGTGATGATCAATGAGGTATGACTTCATTCTAAAGGCCTTCCCACAGTGAGGACATTCATAAGATTTCTCCCCTGTATGTGTTCTTTGATGTGCTACAAGGGTTGTCTTCTGGCGGAAGGACTTTCCACATTCACTACAAATATAGGGTTTCTCTTCATTATGAGTTTTCTCATGAAGAGCAAGAGTTGTCTTCTGGGAGAAGGATTTTCCACATTCATTACAAATATAGGGCTTTTCCCCTGTATGGGTTCTCTGGTGTACAGTAAGATTTGCCTTCTGGTGAAAGGATTTCCCACATTCTTTACAAATATAGGGTTTCTCTCCTGTATGAATTCTCTGATGTAAAGAGAGTGTTGTCTTCTGGCGGAAGGACTTCCCACAGTCATTACACTCATACGGTTTCTCTCCTGTGTGAGTTCTCTGATGACGAATAAGGTGTGACTTCAATCTGAAGGCATTCCTACATTGCAGACATTCATATGATTTCTCCCCTGTGTGTGTTCTCTGATGGTCAGTAAGGGCTGTCTTTAGGCGGAAGGACTTACCACATTCATTGCAAACAAAGGGTTTCTCTCCTGTGTGAGTTCTCTGATGATCAATGAGATATGATTTCCTTCTAAATGCATTTCCACATTGATGACATTGATAGGGTTTTTCTTCTGAGTGAATTCCCTGATGCAGAATCAATACTGATTTCCTGCAAAAGGATTTCCCACATTCATTGCATGTATGTTTTTTTTCAATATTGGTTGCTCTTCTCTTCTTATTATATACAGATGGGTTTTCTCCTCTGTAAGGTCTACTATGTGTAATCAGGCCCCCCCTTTTAAGGAACGATTTCTCACAGTCATTATATCCAAATGACTGTGCTGGAGTTTCCGTTTTCTGATACTGCGTAAGAACTTCATTATGACTGAAAGCTCTGCCACTTTGATTATGGGATTTGACTTCAGGATGAGTTGTCTCTTGTTTAGTACTGAGGAGTGATTTCCCATATCCATTATACTCACTAAGTCTCTTTCTTGCAGGATTTAGATTACTGATAATTAATTCTGAAACATTTTTCAAAATCCTTCCATGAGTATCATATTCAGGAGGTAGAATTTTGGAATTAACAGGGTTTTTGCCTAGAGTAAATGTCTTTTCACATATTTTACTTTTCTCCTTCACCAGTTTTTTGTGGTTGATGCTTACAACTGATCTAGAATACTTCTCTTGGTGTTCCCTGAATTTTACTAAAAAGTCTTCGGCTTTCCAGTTTTCTTCTAGAAAAGAATATAATTGATAACAATTTGTGAATCTTCACACATTTGCTCTGCAAAGGAATTTTACTAGGGTCTAGCATATGGTGCCAAAAGAGACCCAGGACAAATCACCACTGGCTTGGCAGGTGTGTGGGATGGGGAACCAAAACAAAAACTGCTTCAGGGTGGAAAAGGATGAAAATATAAGCAATAAACATTAATCCCTTTTGCATTTTGCACTAGAACTTCCAAGAGAAAGTGCAACCAACCAAGAAGTCAAAAAATGGTAGAAGCGGATTGACGGTTAGGTAAGTATTCAGAAACAATGAAGTGAATCTATCAAAAGCATTAAAATGCACGTAGGTTGGACAAGGAAAATTAGTAGAAATGTTTAGGGAAAATACTAGAGGAAAGATTGCTTTTGGAGAACACAGATCACTTATACTTTTATATACACACATCCCTAGATGACTGTGGTAAAACACTTCCAATTGATCAACACACCTCCTCTTTGTAAGTATGGTCATCATTGGTTAATTTAGCTTTTAAAGTATCAATTCATTTTCTAGTATTTAGAAAAACAATCCTATAGTCCGTGCTCTAATCCTCCATATAGGGGGGAATTATTTTCTCTTATGAAGGGAAAACTAGACAATAGGAACTTTAAAATAGATCAGAATATGCTCAATTGCTGTATTCCGACTGCTGCAAAATCCCTTCTTTTAGAATTGTCCAAGAACAAAGCTCTCATGACCATCAATTATAACTAGTCCTCTTTTCAGTTGCTGACTCACTTTTTCAGGTTTACGGAAAGACTGGCTTACATCCTTCCCCTATGCAGTAACGTTTTTTTATTCCAGTTTTTTATATGGTAGATCAGAATACCAATTTCATAAGGTAGATTCAACAATCTGGTCCTGGATCATATATTAACTTTAACTTTCATTTCTCTTATAAAAGTACAGCTATTTTTAACTACTTACCTTGCAATCATCTATATCTAATGAAGCAATGTTAAAGCTACACTCAAAAATCTATTCCTTCATTAAGTCTAATAACTCCAATACTAATGCAAGGAATTTTACCTGTAAACAAAACTATATTGTCTAGATTGATTTTTTATATTCTCACAAGTTTTCAGGGTTGTCCACATACCTGACAGATCTCACCTGTTTATAACAAGTAATTTTTGCCTCAGTTTGGCCTGACATTTACTGTCCTATACATACTTTACTTATGCCCAATAACATGCTTGTGCTTACATTCCTTTAATTAATTAGCTTGCTTTCCAGGCTTATTTCTATTTAAATTTAGAGAATCTTCAAGGAAATCCTACTATTCCACAATCTCAAAAACACTTCATATATTTCCCTCACCATTTTAAGCTCTATTTAAAAATTCCAATATAATTATAGTCTAGGAAAACCAGGTTAACAAAGCTTTTAACCACCTCACACTTTGACATAAATATTTTATGAAAAATACAGACTTCAGCCAGATGCAGTGGCTCACACCTGTAATCCCAGCACTTTGAAAGGCTGAGGTGGGTGAATCACTTGAGGTCAGGAGTTCGAAACCAGCCTGGCCAATATGGTAAAACCCTGTCTCTACCAAAAATACAAAAAATTAGCTGGGCGTGGTGGTACATATTTGTAATCCCAGCTACGGGGGAGGCTGAGGCAGGAGAATTGCTTGAATCTGGGAGGTGGAGGTTGCAGTGAGCTGAGATTGTGCCACTGCACTCCAGCATGGGCAACAAGAGTGATACTCCATCTCAAAAATATAAAAAATGCAGACTTGATAGTAATACTTTCTCATAGAAATGAATACTTTATTGGTGATCTTTAAATTCTTTTGGGCTGGGAATGGTGGCTCATGCCTGTAATCCCAGCACTTGGGGAGGCCAAATTGGGCAGATCACCTGAGGTCAAGAGTTCCAGACCAGCCTGGTTAACAAGGCAAAACCCCATCTCTACTGAAAATACAAAATTAACTGGTGTGGTGGTGTGTGCTTGTAGTCCCAGCTACTCGAGTCTGAGTCAGGAGAGTCACTGAACCCAGGAGGCAGAGGCTGCAGGGAGCCGAGATTGTGCCACTGTACTCCAGCCCGGGCAACAGAGCAAGACTCCATCTCAAAAAGACCAAAACCAAAACAAAAAATCTGAGTTTACATTATCACTGCATAATCATAGGTAGTGTCTGGCAGAATGCAGACACTTCAATCACAATCTATAGGGACACACCCTGAGTAGATACATCTAAAAGGAACTTGCCAGTACATCCTTTCTGAATGGATGAAAAAATATCTCCCTTACAAAGCTCCATAAGCAATTAACACAATAACTACTAAATACCTAACATGTTAAATAATATCATCGTAATGAAGGTTCAAAAGGGATCTTGTCTTTGAGAAAAAGAACCCCTAAGAATGTATGATTCCCTCAAAGAAATGAAGACTCAAAAGGGATCTTATTTTTGAGGGAAAGAATCCTTAAGCATCCTTATAAATCCTTAAACATAAACAAGAAGGAATGAAATTATACAACTGTATCCAAGAGTTGTGCATGTTTGTGTTACAGTCAGTAGTTAGCACAGGAATTCAGAAAACAAGTAAGGTAGATATGATGTACAGTAATCAAGGAAGAGTTCACAGAGAAATCTTGAGACTTAAAAGATATATAGTATAAAGAAGGGAGAACACAACATAATTAAAAGTATCTATGTGATGACAAACCCTACATTTATGAACAACAATTAGGAGACTAGGTCAAGTGGAAATTATCAAGAATTTTCTCCAAGAGAAAGCTGAAAAGACCAGATGAGGGCTAATTGTGACAGTTCCTGAAAGAAGAGAAATTTCAATTTCATATAATAAATGATTAAAAATAGCAAACAACTGATGGTATGTTTTGTGAGGAAAGTAACAATATACCTTGAATGAATCCAGACAAAACATATAACAAAGACAAATGGTATTGCAGCAACAAACCCATGAAATAAGATAGTTGTCACTTTGTATGATGTCAGTGTGAAATGAGAATATGAGAGGATGTCAATATATTTCACAAGTTAATAAAACATCACAAGTTGTGAAGAGATCTGTAAGAAATGATAACAGAGACAGAAAAATCAAGTTGACTTTGCAGTAGGAACAAAACAATTTTCAATTAAAGAATGGGAGGCTGGGCACAGAGGCTCATGCCTGTAATCCCAGCACTTTGAGAGGCTGAGGCAGGCAGATCACCTGAGGTCAGGTGTTCAAGACTAGCCTGGCCAACATGGTGAAACCCCAGTTCTACTAAAAATACAAAAATTAGCTGGGCATGGTGGTGAGCACCTGTGATCTCAGCTACTCAGGAGGCTGAGGCAGGCAAATCACTTGACCCCAGAAGGTGGAGGTTGCCATGAGCCAAGATCACGCCACTGCACTCCATCTTGGGCCACAGAGCAGGACTCTGTTTTAAAAATAATAATAAAAAATAAACAATGGGAAAGAATTTAAGAGCTGAGAAAGCCAGTGATTTTCATTTCTGACACATCATCAGAAAACAGGTGAGATGACAGACTGCAGTATGCCTGACGAACCAGAGTGAAGGTAGGAGAAATGTGCTTTGTATGCTGACATTAGTGCCATCTACATAAAATAAAGAGTGTAAGTCTGAGAATGGATGGTATCATTATAATTGAAAGATAGATTACATGAGGGCATATGACAGAAATGAGACCACGTGTCCAGTGAAACAATAAACATTTATTTAAAAAAGTAAAATTTGTTGTGACTCTCATATGCCAAGCATTTTTCAGTGATGTGTTCACAGTGGTGAAGAAAAGAGGCCAAGTTGTAAATAAGCATTCAAGCAATTAGGATAAGAATTAGTGTTGTTTTACCTAAACAAATAATTGATTGCAGGAATGAGGAACAGCCATGTAAAATGAACCACAAAGGTTTAATGAAAGAAAATGGTAACTTTGAAATTATCAGCCCGGGTCAAGGTAAGTGAGTTCTAAAATTAATAGCTACATTTGTGGTGAGAAAGGAAACTTAGCACAGAAAACAAACCTGAGGTGATATGAAGGACAGGAAATGTTAACTAAGTAAGGAGAGGACCACTAACCAATAATTTTCTTTTTAAGGATAGGCTGAAGAATGCCTGAAAGAAATCTATCACGATAAGGCAAGATAAGGACTGAGAGTGCTGGAAAAAGAGACACAAATCAATAAAAAAGATCTAAAAGAAAGAAGGCTTATGGTACATTCAGAGTGGCAGTTATCTATGATAATATGAAACAAACTAGGAAAGCATCTATTTGAGGAGAGTGATATACATATGTTTTCTTTTTTTTGAAATGGAGTCTTGCCCTGTTGCCCAGGCTGGATCATGCAGTGGCATGATCTCGTCTCACCAGAACCTCTGCCTATTGGGTTCAAATGATTCTACTGCCTCTGGCTCCCAAGCAGCTGGGATTACAGACATGTACCACCACACCCAGCTAATTTTTGTATTCTTAGTAGAGACAAGGTTCCTCCATGATAGGCAGGTTGGTTTCAAACTCCTGACCTCAAGTGATCTCCCTGCCTTGGCCTCCCAAAGTGCTGAGATTACAGGTGTGAGCAACTGGGCCCAGACAGGGAGCATGATATTTAAAAGTATGGTTCTGTTTTTGTTTTTAAGACAGGGTCTTGGCCGGGTGTGGTGGCCTGGGCAACAACATTGAAACTCCGTCTCAAAAAAAAAAAAAAAAAAAAAAAAAAAAAAAAGACAGGTCTTGGCTCTGTAGCCCAGCCTGGAGTGTAATTGCATAATCCTAGCTCACTGTAACCTTGAATCTTTGGGCTCAGGTGATCTTCTCACCTCAACCTTCTGAGTAGCTGAAGCTACATGTATATGACATCATTCTTTTTTTTTTTTTTTTTGAGACAGGATCTTGCTCCGTCACCCAGGTTGGAGTGCAGTGGTGCAATCGTGGCTCACCACAGCCTTGACCTCCTAGGCTCAAGTGATCCTCCCACCTCAGCCTCCTGAGTAGCTGGGACTACAGGTGTGCAGCACCATGCCCAGCTAACTTCTGCATGTATTTTTGTAAAGATGGGGTTTTGCCATGATTCCCAGGCTGGTTGCAAACTCCTAGGCTCAAGGGATCTGCCCACCTTGGCCTCCCAAAGTGCTGGGATGACAGATGTGAGTCACCACACCAAGCCTTGGCTAATTTTTAATTTTTATCTTTTTGTAGTGATGGGGGTCTTGCTATGCTGTCCAGGCTTGCCTTGAACTCGTGGCCTCAAGTGATCCTCTCACCTTGGCTTCCCAAAGTGTCAGATTATAGGCATGAGCCATCACACCTGGCCTAAAAGTCTGGTTTTGAGTTTTACAGGCATGAAGTTTTTCACAGGTCAGGAGCCTTTAAAAAGACACTCCTGAAACATTTCAAAGGTATCACCTACTCCTGACCCCTTTAAATTTACATTCTGCTAGACTGTGTCTTCCTAACAGCCAGAAACTCACCCAAGCGGGTATGACCTGCAAATGATGTCCATGGCTCTTCTCCTCGTTCCAACTTGAGGATCACATCAGGTTTGGTCATGTGACACCCTGATAAGGGAAAATAAGACTTAAGTTGCTTGGGCTGTAATACCGTTGAAAATGAGGAAGGGTGCATGTTCAGTACTGCAAATTAAGACACCTATTTGTGTAACAATGTAAGTAGCACCTTGTACTGGGCAAGGGAAGACACAATCATTCCTTCTGCTAACCGAAAGGAATTCATCACCTCTTATTCCTGAAATTCAAGATTATACATAACTTTAGGCACTTTGAGAGGAAGTGCCTGCTACTGAAAGTTTCAAAGAGAATTTTTCTTACCTACAGACATGAGGTGGCAATAGTTTTCCAACATCACATCCATATATAGAGTCTTCTGAGCATGATCCAGATGCTGCCACTCCTCCTGAGTGAAGTCCACAGTCACATCATTGAATGACACTGATCCCTAAAATGGATGGAACAGTAATCAGAACAGGTGGACTTGGCCGGGTGCAGTGGGTCACACCTGTAATCCCAGCACTTTGGGAGGCTGAGGCAGGTTGATCACTTGAGGTCAGGAGTTAAAGACCACCCTGGCCAACATGGTGAAACCCGATGTCTACTAAAAATACAAAAAATTAGCCAGGCATGGTGGCGCGCACCTGTAATCCCAGTTACATGGGAGGCTGAGGCAGGAGAATAGCTTGAAACCAGGAGGCAGAGGTTGCAGTGAGCTGAGATCATGCCACTCCACTTCAGCCTGGGTGACAGAGCAAGACTCTGTCTCAAAAAAAAAAAAGAATAGAAAAAGAAAAAGAAAAGAACAGGTGGACTAGATATTGGGAAGTACTTTTGATCCTGATACATTGTGGCATTCATATGAATCCCTGTACAGAAGGACTAGTTTTCCCTGTTTAATGATTTATATTGTAGGGGAAACAAAAATCAAAGTAGAAGTTCCTGTCAGTTAATTTTTAAATAACACATTCTAAGAATATTTACTGTGAAGTCACTTAATGCCTAAAACTGTATTTATTTATGGAAGTGCCAAGACAAACACCTTCCTGCTCAGAAGTTAGCAGAGGCATGTAACACATACTTGCAAGAAAATGTATGTAAACACAAACCTGCAAGAAGGTGTTACAGGTACACAAAAGAAGTACATACAAGATACAGCATGTATCACAAAGGTATTTTCTCAGGCTTCACTAAGGAGGTAAATGTTTCCCATTTAACATGAATATATCATACATGAAGAAAATGGTTTGTAAATGCATGGTGAGATTTTTCAGCATGCAGCAATAACAGAGTAAAACACTTAAGAAAACATTCCCTCAGATAATAATTATAAAATGTACACATGCTATACAATAAACCTGAAACCCCACAGCTCCAATGGCATAAAACCACTACTTACTTCCTCAAAGGTGATGGAAGACAAAAATGAGAGCTCGAGGCTGGGCACGGTGGCTTATCTGTGGTCAGGAGTTTGAGACCAGCCTGGCTAACATGGCAAAGCCCTGTCTCTACTAAAAATACAAAAAGTTAGCTGGGCATGGACATGGGCGCCTGTAATCCTAGCTACTTGGGAGGCTAAGGCAGAAGAATTGCTTGAACCTGGGGGACAGAGGGTGCAGAGAGCTGACATCGTGCCACTGTACTCCAGCCTGGGCAACAGAGAGAGACTCTCTCTCTCTCTCTCTCTCTCTCTCTCTCACACACACACACACACACACACACACACACACACACACACAGAGAGAGAGAGAAAAAGAAATGAGAGCTGGAAATCTAGGTTAATTCTGGAAGCGAGAGAACTACAGAAAGGATGAAAATGAAAATCTGAGCATAAACTCTGTCAAAACTCCTGGTTGATAAAATATGCCTGTGTTGGAGAGATCACAGAGGGTTTAGCAAAAAGCAGACAGAAATAAAACAGAAAAGAATTTTGAAAAATAGCTGGGTGTGTGGCTCACGCCTGTAATCCCAGTACTTTGGGAGGCCAAGGTGGACAGATCACGAGATCAGGAGTTCGAGACCAGTCTAGCCAACACAGCGAAACCCGGATAATACAAAAATTATCTGGGTTTGGTGGCACATGCCTGAACTCCCAGCTCCTCGGGAGGCTGAGGCAGGAGAATTGCTTGAACCCGGGAGGTGGAGGTTGCAGTAAGCCAAGACCGCCATTGCACTCTAGCCTGGGTGACAAAGTGAGACTCTGTCTCAAAAAAATATATATATTGAAAAATAAAAGTGCGTCCAGTAAGATTCTAATGCATCTGCCTCTCGACTGATGGTATTCCACAACCTGCTCACAGCTCAAGAAGAGTAAGACTGAGGTTTACAGGATTAAGGTGTCAGAGCTTGGATTGACAAAGCAGCACGAAGTGTAGGGGGTAAAACTTGAAAAAGAGAAATGCAGGACGTAAGCCCCAAAATCTAAACACTCACCAATTCCTTGATTGAGAGCAAAAGTACATGAACACAAGGGAGAACCTATTTGCTTTCAGGAGGTTAGGATAAAAGGCAGCAGCTAGAAGCTTGAAGAACCAAGAGGATATATCAGCTGCTTTACACTGAGCAAGGAGACAAAGTTTGAGGTTTGATTACAAGCAAGCTCACTGCCTGCTAAAAAAATAATTCTCAGAAGAACATAACAGACATGACAGAATTCAGATTAAAATACTACTTATGGGTCAGGCATGGCGGCTCACGCCTGTAATCCCAGCACTTTGGGAGGCTAAGGCGGGTGGATCACAAGGTCAAGAGATAGAGACCATCCTGGCCAACATGGTGAAAGCCTGTCACTACTAAAAATACAAAAAAAATTAGCTGGGTGTGGTGGCGCCTGCCTGTAGTCCCAGCTACTCGGGAGGCTGTTCTACTCTCCAGAACACAGGCAGGAGAATTGCTTGAACTCTGGAGGAGGTAAAGGTTGCAGTGAGCCAAGATCCCACCACTGCAGTTCAGCCTGGTGCCTGACGACACAGCAAGACTGTCTCAAAACAAACAAACAAACAGAAACTACTTATGATGTCCAGCTTTCCAGCAAAAATTACTAAACATGCAAACAAAAAAAACAAAACAAAAGGAGTGGGGGGAAAGGAACTGTAGTCACAAAAAGACAATCACAGAAACAAACTTCTAGTGGACCCTTATGTTGGATTTTGCCAAAAAAAAAAAAGGCTTCAAAGTAGCTGTTTTAAAGGTATTCAAATACATAACTGGAATAAAAATTTAACTAGAGGGCCGGGCGCGGTGGCTCAAGCCTGTAATCCCAGCACTTTGGGAGGCCGAGGCGGGTGGATCACAAAGTCAAGAGATCGAGACCATCCTGGTCAACATGGTGAAACCCCGTCTCTACTAAAACTACAAAAAATTAGCTGGGCATGGTGGCGCATGTCTGTAGTCCCAGCTACTCAGGAGGCTGAGGCAGGAGACTTGCCTGAACCCAGGAGGCGGAGGTTGCAGTGAGCCGAGATCGCGCCATTGCACTCCAGCCTGGGTAACAAGAGTGAAACTCTGTCTCAAAAACAAACAAACAAACAAACAAACAAACAAAAAATTTAACTAGATAGGCTGGGACGATGGCTCATGTCCATAATCCCAGCATTTCTGGGAGGCTGAGGCAGGAAAATCACAAGGTCAGGAGTTCGAGAACAGTCTAGCGAACATGGTGAAATGCCGTCTCTACTAAAAATACAAAAAGTAGCCCGGCACAGTGGCAGGCACCTGTAATCCCAGCTACTCAGGAGGCTGAGGCAGGAGAATTGCCTGAACCCAGGAAGCAGAGGTTGCAGTGAACTGAGACCCTGCCATTGCACTCCAGCCTGAGTGACAGAGCAAGAAAAAAAAAGAAAAAAGAAATTTAACTAGATAAGCTCAATAGCAGAACAGAAATAGAGAAAGAATCACTATCTGTGTAAATCAATCAAGAGAAAATAAGTAACCTCAACAGAAAGAAAAAGAATCATGAAACATGAACAGATTCACAAAGATCTGTGGGTCAATTTCAAAAGTCCAACATGAATATAATTAGAGTCCCAGAATGGGGAGAGAAAAAGAAATGGCATAAATAAATTTCATGGAAATAATGGCCTAACACATCCAAATTTGTCAAGAACTTACACCTTCAAAGAGCTTAATTAACCCTAAAGGGATAAACACCAAAGAAAACCACATTTAGCCAAATCCTAATTAAACTGCTAAACAGCCAAGAATTAATTCTACATGCAGCAAAACTATATATTCAAAATGAAGGCAACATAAAGATATTTTCAGATAAAACCTAGAGAATTCATCGTCAGCAGGACTGCACCATCCAAAATGCTAATAGGCTGGGCATGGTGGCTTACATCTGTAATTCCAGCACTTTGGGAGGCTGAGGAAGGAGGACTGCTTGATGCCAGAAGTTTGAGATCAGCCTAGGCAACAAAGTGAGATCCCCATCTCTGGGAGGTGGGGGGTGGGGAAATTAATTCAGGCTAAGGTAAAAACAAAACTAAGGTCTTTTAGGAAGGAATGAAGAAAATGAGAAAAATTGTAAGAGTATAAATATTCACTTCCTTTTCTCTTTACAAGATATGACTATTTCAAGCAGCAATCAGGGGATGTCTTCTGCTATTTTAGCATGAAAGCAACCATGGATAATATGTAAACAAATGAGCAAAAATGTGTTTCAATAAAACTTAGTTATGGACACTAAAATTTAAACTTCATGAAGTTTTAGTGTGTCAGGAATATTTTTCTCTTGAAAATGTTGTCAAATGATTCAGGTGCAAAAATAATTCTTAGCTTACAATCTGTACAAAACAGGAAACAGGCTGGATTTGGCCTGTGGACTGTAGACCCTTGATTTAAAATAAATATCCTAATACCATTTATTACAAATATAAATATCACATACACGGCAAACAAAAAAGTAAAAGGCGGGTATTAGTAAATGAAACTACAATGTGGCAAGACTGATGTATTTTTACCATAACTAATTTAGTATCAACCCTAAGAAAATTCTGATTAAGTTGACAATGCATACTGTAATCCTAGGGCAATCACACAAAAAATGCATATTTTTACCATAACTAATTTAGTATCAACCCTAAGAAAATTCTGATTAAGTTGACAATGAATACTGTAATCCTAGGGCAATCACACAAAAAATGAAATGCATAACTAAAAAGCTAACAGAGGAATAAAAATGAATCATTAAAATGTATGTGACTAACACAAAATACAACAAAATGTAGGAGCAGATAGGCAAAAACAGGAGGAATTTAAAGCATATTACTAAGTGAAAGAAGCCACTCTGAAAAGGCTAAATGGTATAGCCTTCCAGATTCTAACCATATGGCATTCTGGAAAAGGCAACATTTTGGAGAGTAAAAAGACCAGTGGTTTCCAGGGGGTAGCAGGGAGGGAGGGATGAACAGGCAGAGCGAAGAGAAATTTTTAAGGCAATGAAACCAT